GTTGTCTTTGTCTCCGCTATCAGTTATCATAATTTTACCATCTCTGTGCAAGTCTGCAAATTTCTTTATTAAATCATAAGATTCTTAAATTCATCAAGTCTCTCTGTGCCTGGGTCCTCGTCACAAAACATGACATCACTGTTTTGTACATTTTAACACAATTTAATCCCACATAGGTGAAAGAAAAACAAAACACTTCTTTAAAAATGGGCTAAAATCGCCCTTGTTCAGAAGCAATACAACCAGAACAATATTCGTATGCATGCACTCAGTCTCAGGACAACTGTTTCTAAACTAAGTCACCCTTATACGCTGCATTAGCTGATGAGAATAGTTTAGGCAACATGAACTGTAACATTAGACAAAAACATCTTTCTAACTTGCAGATGTTAGCGGACACAGTCACTAACTTTCCACAGCAACTAAATTATACTTAAAGTACTGTATGTTGTTCAGTAGTTAACCTATACAGACAGTAATGGAAAAATCATGACACAATATGGCAGAGTACTAGCGAAAGCTAGCATACACAGCAACAGAGTTTAACTGGAACTTCTCAGCAAAAACAGTGCACAATTCACCTATTTTACAATGAACAATGATAATGGGCTAATACTCAACAGTAACACATGCTGCCGCATTTATACAGTTCTGTGCATGGCAGTTACCTTAAACAGGGGAAAAGGTGAGGAGAGGTGAAAGAATGACACAGACACGTAGCTCTCGCTCTCACTCGTCTGTACTGAGTGAAGGAGGAGACTCGCCAATCCACCTACTGGGGCCCTGAGGCATAGCAAATGGATCGACGCACAACCAGCCCAGGCAAAACTTTCCATACTTATCTCCCTCTACATTCCCACTGCATATTCTATAGAGCAAACAGTCAAAACAACAAATAAAACAATGATAAAGGCATGACATGAAATATAAGGAACAGGGATGTACAACTTCAAAACTAATCAAATTTATGAACCACCACACAGCCAAGGCAGTTTAAAAAAACAACAAAAACATTTCAAACTATTTACAGAACAATCAGGTGTTCTGCATCAAATTAGAAGTCACAAAGATTAGTTGTGCCTCTCCATATGAGACAGAGAATCACATCACAGCCTGATACCTGCAGGCCTGACAGCAGGAGATGTATCACTCCTGTTTTCTACCTGGATAGTGTTTACACTGTAATCCGCTTTTGGTGGCTTTTTGGCAGCAACTGTGACATTCAGCAGTCACCTTATTGTTCTGACACACAAAACAAAACCATCCACTAAACTACACACTGACTACACTCCAAACATGCTACACGTCACAAATCTCTCACATCTCAAAACTTTCTCTCTGTCTCGATCTGTCGCTTGCTCTTGCTTGCCGCTGTCATTCCTAAAACTTCCACCTCTTCCCAAACAACCAAATGCCATTTTATGTGTTTATGTTATACGTTTGAAGTTCCCGCTTTTAACGCAAAAATGGAGACTCTGGGTTGTCTTGGGTTGACATAGCATTTTGTTGCCATATCATCTTAAATTGGTCATGTGATTGGTTTACCATGACTATTTTATTCTTCCTCAGCCAATCAGCAGCACTTGTGCAATTGCTTCACTCCATTTATGTCATGTCTGAATGGACCTGAGAGGCTGGTACCAGAGACAGGATTAGAGGCTTAATGAGGTTCAGTCAGGTTTAGCTCTAAGTTTAAGCGATATGAAGTGATCCACTTAACAGGGTCAGGACTAGAGTTTTCTGGAAAGCAGTGAAGCTCCATCAACCTGCAAACAGCCAGAGCCTCTATAGTTTTTAGATACAGACCACACTGAAATGAAAGATAAAAATATTTCTATTAAAAAATTGGCAAATGTTGCCTCTATAACACGCTATTGATTGTTGTAGTGAAGGACAGTCATGTTGGTTTGAGCTGTTCTGATAGGAGTGTGACTGCTCATCTGTCTCATCACATTTCTGGGTTGTTGAAAGGAACCCAAGAAAACTGAAGCTGTTTTGTGTAGTCAGGCAGAACAGTGGTGTGTTGATTAGCTCTGTTGACTCACAGTAAGAAGGTCCTGAGTTCAATTCCACTATCAGGCCTGGGCCTTTCTGTATGGAGTTTACATGTTCTTCCTATGGTTGTGTGGGTTCTCGTCAGGTACTCTGGCTTCCCACTGTCCAAAGACATGCAATTAGTGGGGTTAAGTTAATTGGCAATTCTAAATTGCCGTAGGTGTGGTTTATGCCCGACAGTCAAAGGAGCTTGCAAAGAAAAGCGTCTGGACTTCTTTAAGTTACTTGAAGACGTTTCACCTCTCATCCGAGACGCTTCTTCAGTTCTAAGTTCTACTTCATCCAGCTATACTAATCGTCAACAGCAGGTGTGTTCGGAGAACTGGAATAGCGAGCTCAGAGTTAGCGCGATGATTTGATCTTGGATGTAGTAAGCGAGGTACGAAGAACAGACCCCTTGACAAGTCCTTTGTTTTATTTTGCAAGATGGTTATTTGATGCCGCACCTTGCGAATGGAGGGCACCCTTACTCTCTGCAAATGGGCATGAGAAAACTGTTTGGTGCCTATACAATGTAGCACGATGTCGGGGCAACACATCATGCTACATGCATGATGGTTTTATTGTTCAGTTTTCAGCTGTTTTTGTTTTACATTTCAAATATGTGTGCAGCCAGACATCATGTCAGGCTGCAAAAACTGACTCCTAAGAAAAGGGGAGACTGTTGTGTTTCCTCATAGTTTTACACCTGTTGATCCACTTTCTGTCAGCCGCACAAAGAACCTTCAAATCCCTGCAGATTTGTCAGCTGATCATGCCCTATCCTGTGATTGGCTGAGCTTCATGCCTGGAAAAGTTCTTTCACACTGTTCATCCTGGAGCTGCTTTATGACCATGATCTGAATGGAAACACATC